TTTAGACACTAACTAAAAATTCTAATTTATTTCTTACACTGTTCTATATTAAACTTTAACTTTTCATTACAATGCTCTAAACTAAACTGTGCGCCGTTAAGTCGGCTATTTATACCAAGCCAATTTTGTCCTCGTAGTTTCCAGAGGCTCCCGAAAATTGCATCTCAATGACTAAACGGCACTCTCCGCCCGTTCTAACCGTTTCTAGTGCGTCAGCGCATTCCTGAACGTTCCGTCGCCTCGAGCACGAGTCGGTTGCCATCTGAAGGTCGGGCGTACACAGGGTAGGCTTTAGGAATTTCATGATAGTATATTGCGTTTGAAAAAGGTGCAGTCTTTGTGTGCCCATGGGCTATAATTGCCGCAGTTCTCTATTTTTACCAAATTCGTCACAAATTTCGCATATATTTTCATTAACGTCGCTATCACGATCATCCTCATCTTCATGGTCATTCTCATCTTCAGTTAATGTATCTTCTGTGATCTTCTGGGTTCTTAAGCAGTTTCTTTTTGGTACTATTCGTAGCGAATTGAATTTTACAGGTGTTGACTCTTCGATGTCAATTTTTCGTTTTATTCCTTTGTTGACTTTATTTCTTATTTATTCTTCTTTCTTTCTCTGATTTTCTTCTAGAATGTTGCTTTCTGCTGCTATTGTGGTTGGATCTTTTATTTTCAAATGAGTCATCTTTTGAGCATTCTTGTAGTGCAATTATGTCAACAAACGATAATTTAAGCTCAGGGTATCTGAACTACCTATAAGAGTTTATAAAGAAATACTCTGTAATATATAAAAACAAACAAGGGTAATAGTGGTCGGCCAGCATTACCTCCACGTAAGTAGGTATTATAACCCCAAAATACATGTTTATACCCATTGACTCATAATCATTAATCACTTAAATTAAAGCAAGAACTTATGTAGGCTTAAACTTCATTAAAAATGTAACATGTGAATACTGAATACTATGTAACGAGATAAACTTAATTACATGCTTCTACATACCTATAATAATAATATAATAATAAATTGTTTATTACAAAATAAAGTTATAACATTACAAAGAGAAAAAATAGATTAAATTTATGAACTCAAGTAATAAACAAGGTAATCCATTTAGGCCCATCAGGCCTGTCTATGGTATAGCCGTTTATTAAAATAATTTTTATAATTTAATCTTAGCAATATTTCTTAACACATGTAAAAAAATGTAAACAAAAAGAGTACTGTTAAAAAACATATTAAAAGGTAAGTACATTTATAGCTTAAAAACTAATCTAATATAGTAAAAAGTAATAAACGTAATATACAAATCTGACACTGCTTCGGGTATAGTATGGACTTCACACAGATATATGGTGTAACAGGTATTAAATGTGAAATAATATTAGTCGTAACTGTAAATATTTAGTGGCTACCGTTACCCCAGCGGCCACCATTCCCCTCTTTACCCCAATAAATATATAATAAGCGGAGATTGTAACTCCGAAAATACCATTTGGAGTTCAAGATTAACCACAGTCAAAGAAACGGAGCTGCTTACTCTATTAAATCGGAAAACTTATAGAAGACATATTGGGTCCTATGATTGAACGTTTACGTTATTCGTAACATACATGTTAGGCCGAGTTTTAACAGTAATAAGGCGAGTTCGTATGATGGAAAACTGTTATATTAGAACATAACAGGCGGAAAATACCAGTAATGTGTTGAAAAAATTTTTCATCATACGAATTTGCCTCATTTCTGTTAAAACTCGGCCTAACATGTACGTTACGGATAACGTAAACGTTCAATCATAGCACCCATTATCGTTATAAGGTCATTACTACAGTGACTTTTTAAAGTCACTGTAGTCATTACAAGAACGTTGTTCCATCTATCGGTTTACAGAGCAAGTAATAGAAGAAGGATTTTATTTGAATGGAAACTGTAAATTATCGTTTCGGCAATCTGTCTAAGGTTACGGCTTACGGCGCAGCATAATTTTCTTCTTTTTCCTTCTTTAGCTGTATCTGCGCAGTTTTTCACTAGCAATATCTGAGATCTACCTGGTTTGCCAAGATGCTCTAGATGATTTTTGTAAAAATGTTAAAAACGAAACACTGGTGCTGGGTAGAGAGTGAAAAACTGAAGAAGACAAGGAAAAAGAAGAAATTTATGCTGACGCCGTAACCTTAGACAGATTGCCGAAACAACAAATTTACAGTTTCCTTTCAAATAAAATCCTACTTCTATTACTTACTATGTAAACTGATAGATGGCGAAAGCTCTTGCACTGACCCTACAACGGTAATTATGTATTATGTCTCCCAATGAAAACACCAACTGGGATAGTTTTTAAGAGGACTTAACAAATACCTATTCATAGTACTAAAAACAAAAAATCAGCTAGATGAAGAACTGATAAAGTTTATAGTGAAAATCTAGCAAGCTCCATGGAGAAACACGCTAAAAGTAAGAAAATTAACAACTGAGAAAACTACTCTGTCGAGATAAGAGAACTGGTAGCAGAAAAGAGAGCTACTCAAAGACTGAGAAGAAAAAGCCTAAATTACGAAGAATTCTTCTGCAAATACCTAATAGGCAGTGGCGGGTGGTAGCGTAGTCTAAGGGGGAGGAGGGTACTTTTAAAAGATATTCTAGATGTATACAAATCCGATGTATTCAAGACATAACTTTCCTATCGGGTTATTATAGGCTTTTACCGGTTATTTTGTAGATACAACCTATTGTATCACCCCTGTAAATGTTTAAAGGATGAACTAAATACATACATTTTCCACAAACATTTCCGAAACATTTTTTATATACAGTATGTCCCCCTAAGTTGGAATCATATGGAAAACTTTTTATTATTAATTTTAGGAAAAAAGTTATTCTCCATATTCTAAAACCTAGAATACAGTCATCAAATATCAAATTGTTTCAGCGGTATACGAAGTTTGTCAAAAAATATTAATTTTTGCTCAAGAGTAGATACCTTTATTCTTTATACGACTGATAAAATTTGATATCTGATGGTTGTATTTTAGGTTTTAGACCATACTCGACTTTTTATAAATCATAACTTTTTCCCAATATTAATAATAAAAAAGATTTTCATATGCCGCCAATTTACGTAGACAGTTGGTGGCATAGGAAAGCTTTTTTTTTTTTTTTTTTTTTTTTTAATTTTGGTGTCATCGGCGTCGACTACTACGGCCATTAGCCTCGTGTTCTGTGTAGGCTTTGTTACTGTTTCCCAGCGCCACTTTAGGAACAACAGCACTGTTAATTTTAGGAAAAAAAGTTGTTCTTCTAAAACCTAAAATACAACCATCAAATATCAAATTTTATCAGTCGTATAAATAATAAAGGTACTTTACTCTTGAGTAAAACTCATATTTTTTGACAAACCTCGTATACCACTGAAAAAATTTGATATTTGATGACTGTATTCTAGGTTTTAGATAATGCAGAACTTTTTATGAATATTAACTTTTTTCCTAAAATTAATAATAAAAAAGTTTTCCATACGATTCCAACTTAGGGGGACTGTGGTGCTCGCGTCTCGTTTGGCGAGCACACAAAGAACTTCCAACATTTTATGACATTTTTGTTGCTCTTTCATGTTTGACGTTTTATGTCATTATTTTTATTTTTTGGTTATATGCAATGTCTTGAGAGTGACAACCATCTGGTCTCTTCTTTTTCAATAACGTACCTGTTATTTATGAAGCTATGCTTTTCCTTTTGTAAATTTTTACAGGATTTTCCACCAGGATAAGAAGAACGACGTAGACAAGAAATTGAGAGCCAGCCATATATAAAGAACCGCCGTTGCTATGCTGGGACAGTAGAAAGACAGCAGACAGAAAACAAGCATTTTCCAAACATCACGAACCAATCCAAATTTTATAATTCCGATTATACCATTTTTATATAGTTTTTTCCGATTAAAATTTTTTCTAAATTAGTTGTAGCCATTACTCCAAAGGATTTAGTGGATATACTGTATATTCATTACCAACGAAAATATTGAAAAATTTTACACATTTTCTTAAATTTGTCCATGATACCTCAAACAACTTTTGTTTGGAGAATTGTCTTCTCGAATCGTAAATAACAGAGATATTCCTTATTTTGCAATGACAGCATTTCTATATTCCGCATTGATTTTCTTGCGTCTATTGTCAATTGTACCATGTTCATCTTCAACAGTTTCTATATTTCATCCGTAGTCTCCCTCATTAATAAAATTGCTTTTTAAAAAATTTCTATATCTTTCAGAAGTTGTACACTGTCTTTATTCTTAATGCAAATATCTAAATACCATTACCATTAGACAACAATTTGATATATCACTGGTTTCGTCAGACTGTACTGCCAAAAAATTAACTTATTTGTTGATTTGGTCTCGAATTTCGTTGCGACATACTTTTAACATACTCTCTAATATTTCGTTTCGTATTGTTTTAGATGTACCTTTAAACACGGTTGCATTTTTTAAAGGTTCTTTTAATATAGAATCAACTTCAGATGTAAAATGATGTAAAGTCGATTCTTTATTCTTAGAAAACACCACGATTTTCAGAAGCGTCTTTTTCATCTTAGGATTGGAGTTCGCCCATAGAAATCTGCCGTATATCCACGGTTGACTTAAAGCGTAGCTTTCGGGAAAAATATACGTCCTGGTATTAATTTTAATATTGAAAACCATTTATGAAGTGTGTCTAGGGGTTGTTTTAAAGTACTCTGTTGTGTTCCTTGTTGAAAGTGGTATGCTTCTTTCTTGAATTGCAGTTTTTGTTTTCTTAAAGCAACGTGGATTGTTTTCTTGAACATCTGACTGAAAGATCTATAAAAAGACAACGAACCAACGAAAAGAAATATCAACACTTTTTATGGGTCCTTCGAGCCGGATAATTACCAACGAATAGATCAGCCCATAAAACTCAGTTCATAAATTTCATAAATTTCTGACGTTTGCAATTAATATTCATTAACTTTCTTTCAGCCCTCACGGCGCTAGGGTGTCAGGTGTGGTCGAAGAAACTCCCGGTCGTCTAGAATACGAAGTGGCCTTGTATAAAGAAGCGCCTGCAGCCAGAATTAGTAATACATCAGCAACTAGTAACGAACTTCCAGTGGACCAGGCGGTTCCTATAGGTACGAAACTACAACTCAGAGCGAGGATCAGTCCGGATTCTGCCTGGAAATACGTCAAATTAATGGAAGTGACTGTTAGTCCGGATCCCGATGATCCGCACATGAGCGGCAGCGTGGCTTTGGTTAAAGATGGGTAAGTTTTATTTCATACTCTCTAAACAGTCTAAAGTCAAAGTCTTCATATTGATCCACCAGTACACGAAAAATAGAAAAGGAAAATTTAAAAAAAACTTTTCATGCGATTGTAATTCATATTAATCACAAAAAAACAGCATATTTTGCGAAAACGATGTTTTGTAGTAGAAAATGTTTTATATAAAAGTTGTAGCTGATTATATTTTCTACAATTTATCTTGATAAGTTACTACGCTATGATGATAAATACAAAAAGTAGAGGATGCCAAAGTTCACAAAAACTCTTTTTTTTTCTTTTTTGAGCCAAAAATTTAATTTTTACCCCGAAACTGCAATGTTTATGGCTTAAAATTGGGTTTAAATAGTTTTATTAAAATTTAGTTTCTTTGTAAATATAAACGAATATCTAGTGAATTGCAATAATCTCAATAATTAAAAAATTGTCACTTATTTCAAATTTTAAAAAAGAATAGTAGACCGGTCATTAAATATGAACTGTGGTCCTTACTAAAATGGATATGAAATTATATCCATTCAGTAGACTGATATGGTGGACCTATTTATTCTGTAGTCTGTGCATAAAATAGATAATATACATGTGGGTGTAGAAAAATATCTATTTCTATTTTACTACACTGAGTGTAGTCAGTGTGGTCAACACTTAACATTTGCTCTGTAGAATAGCCACTGTTGTAATGATTAAAAAACCGAACTATGTGGGTCAATCTTAACGTTTCGTAATAATTATGGAAAGCGGCAAAAGAAAATCATCATTACGCACACTGATTAACACAAATTATTCAAACATTTCTGCACGAAGACGTTCCACGATGATATATAACTGTCAACTTCAAGGGAATGTCGTTGGTCCGAAGAAATATGGACGCAAAAGACTCTAGTCCGTTATTAAAGCGAAGAAAAATTGCCGTCTTGCTCAAAATAATGAAATATTATTTATTTATTATACGAGCCAGAGGTCGGTTTAATTGGGATATAAATTTAAATTCGTATGAATATGTTACTGTTATTTGTGACCCATATGTATGTTATGTGTGTCTATAAACCATGTCTGTAATGTCGTATCCAAATTCCAAGAATTTAATACTGTTTCAAGTAATTCAACTAGATAAAGAAAAATACTATTATTATTATACTCTCCAAACAGTAGTCTGTAAAGAGTATTATAGGTTTGCTTACGATGTCACGTTTTTTGTCCGCACAAGTCAAAAACTAATAACAAAAAAACGAAATTAACTTGAAACTTTCAGGACAAATCAAGCTGTAAAGGGAACGAAGCCTATTGATTCTGAAAAAAATCTGATTAAAAATGTTAAGGTAGGTTGAAATTAAAAAAAAAAAACATAAATCAAAAACGAAAAACGATATCAACATGAAATTTTTATTAAAAAATCTAGCTCTATAATAAGATGAAACCTTCTGATTCTAAAAAAAACTGAATAAAAATGGGGGTTAAAGGGGTTGAAATATTTAAAAAAAATCCTCAATCACAACGAAAAATAACATTCACTTGAAATTTTTGGCAAAAATCAAGCTCTATATTGATTTAAAAAATAAAAGAGGTGGATGAAATAAAAAAAAATACAATTTAAAGACCAAAGCTCTATAAGGGAACGAATAAATAAAATGGGACGATAAGGGAAGTTAAAATATTGAAAAAAACGATATCTAAGAGATATCAACGAGAACAAAGAACAATATCAAATTGAAATCTTCAGAAAAAATCAAGCTTTATAAGGGGATGAAACCTATTAATCCTGAAAAAGATCTGACTAAAAATGGGGGTTACGGAGGTCTTTTAAACTGTCAAGAATATAATATAAAATGACAATCATTAATATGTCTAGTTATAGATATAATTCTGAGCAAAGCTAATTAGGGATATTAGTACTAGAAATTTAACTCTAGAAGAATAAAATTATTATGTTATTGCATTCAGCTATTAATAACGGTTGTAATTTTTCTCAAAGAGTTTTTAAACAAATTAAACAATAAAATGACCGTTACAGCTGCTCTGTGAAATAAGACTATAAAAAATCTAAAATCTACCAATTGGCATTTTTGCATCTTGGCAAAAAAATTAGTTATATGCTATATTAATTTTATGTTTTCCTTTTAGGATAAAACAGCAAATTGGTTAATTGTCTAAAAAACTAATATTTATTAATAAAGCTTTAAAATTGTTAAAATCTAAAAAAGTCTAAGGAAGTCTAAAAAAATCAAAAAAAGTCGAAAAAAGTTTAAAAATGTCTAAAAAAAGTCTAAAAAAAGTCTAAAAAGGTCTAAAAAAGTCTAAAAAGTCTAAAAAGGTCTAAAAAAGTTTAAAACGTCTAAAATAGTCTAAGTATAAAAAGTATAAAATAGTTAAATAAGTCTAATAAGTTTAAAAATCTAAAAAAAGTCTAAAAAGGTCTAAAAAGGACTAAATAGTATAAAAATCTAAAAAAAGTCGAAAAAAGTCTAAAAAAAGTCTAAAAAAGTGAAAAAAAGTCAAAAAAAGTCAAAAAAGTCAAAAAAGTAAAAAAAGTCAAAAAAGTCAAAAAAGTCTAAAAAAAGTCTAAAAAAGTCTAAAAAAGTCTAAAAAAGTCTACAAAATGTCTAAAATAGTCAAAAAAAGTGTGAAAAATTAAAAAAAAAATCTAAAAAAGTCTAAGAAAGTTTGAAAAAGTATAAATAAGTCTAAAAATGTCTACAAAAGTCTAAAACAGTATAAAAATCTCTACAAAAGTCTTAAAAGTTTAAAATGTCTAAAAGAGTCTAAAAAGTCCAAAAAAGTCTAAAAAAGTCTAAAAAAGTCCAAAAAAGTCTAAAAAAAGTCTAATAAGTTTAAAAAAGTTTAAAAAAGTTTAAAAAAGTTTAAAAAAGTTTAAAAAAGTTTAAAAATGTTTAAAAAAGTTTAAAAAAGTTTAAAAAAGTTTAAAAAAGTCTAAAAAAGTCTAAAAAGTCCAAACAAGTCTAAAAAGTCTAAAAAAACGAAAAAGTCTAAGAAGTCTGAAAAAGTCTAAAAAAAAGTTTAAAAAGGTCTAAAAAGGACTAAATAGTCTAAAAAGTCTAAACAAAGTCTAAAAGGCTAAACTAGTCTAACAAATCTAAAAAAAAATCTAAAGAAAGTAAAAAAATCTAAAATTATTTGAGCAAACTACTTTTATAAAAATTATGGATTTGTTCAATAAAACGATTTTTATGTGTAATTTCTGATAGAAATATTTTTTGTTCACGAAATTTCTTGTATAAAATTGTATTCGATTGACACAGAAAAGTGCATTTAGGGTAAAGGTGGGGAATTGCGACCATTTTTCAATTATTGCCTTTATTTTTACTAAAAAATATTGGAAAACAGGCATAAGTCTATTTTTCGTAATATTGAGTTATATAATAATTAACATTAAAAAGTTTTAATATTTCAACAAGTTCTCCCGAAAAGTTTCAAAATCTAACTTACGTCCAAATACCTATCGATCAAAGATATACACACCACCAAACTTATATGGAATTACTCTGTATTTCTGAATTAACTTTTTGTGAGGAAAAAATTTGGTATCCAACTTTAAGATAAGGGTTTTTGTTCCTAACACGTTTCGGTCCAAAAAAAACATATGCAAGGTACTTGGAACTAGGAACTCTTAAGAACAGGCCCAGACAAAGTCGTCAAAGGGTCACAACTGTGCCAAATTGCTAGTGTTTCTCATCCAGAGCTGCAACGACAACTTCTGGAAGCTACAGGTGTGAACGTTTCAGTTGATACCATGAGAAAAAGACTTCGCGCTCGAGGATTGTACAGAAGAAGAGAGTTACGGGTCCCACAGTTATCTAGGCAAAATGAAATTGACAAGCTAAATTGGTCAACTGAAAATTGGCAAAATATTCTTTTTTCGGATGAGACCAGAACTGGCCTAAGATCAGATGACCTTAGAATTCGGGTTCTCAGAACTCCTGGAAGACGAGCGAGACTCCAGGCTGCCAGATATCCAAGATATCAAGAAGGAACTGTAATGTTCTGGGGAGGTATTATGCTGGGAGCAAAAACTCCATTCTTACCACTTCAACAAACTTTAGCCCGTCGGAGGTATGTTGATTTTGTGCTAGAACCAATCGTAAGGTTTTGGAGAGGTGCAATTGGGGATAATTTTATCTTCATGCACGATAATCAGAGCTGTTTAAGATCATTTTAAAAACGATTTAAATCAAAGATCATAAATCATTTGCATTTGAACAAATGATTTAAATCAAAGATCGATTTTTTAAAAAGAAAGATTTAAATCAAAAATCTTTTTTAGATTTAAATCTTTTTTTCAATTTAAATCATTTTAGGAAAGATTTAAATCTTTTCGAAAGATTTAAATCATTTTAGGAAAGATTTAAATCATTTTAGGAAAGATTTAAATCTTTTCGAAAGATTTAAATCTTTTCAAAAGATTTAAATCATTTTAGGAAAGATTTAAATCTTTTGGAAAGATTTAAATCTTTTCGAAATATCTAAATCTTTTTAAACGAAATAAATATTTTCAAAAGATTTAAATCTTTTTATAGATTTGGGTAACTCTTTAAAAAATGCTTTCGGTAGGCCAAAGATAATGAATACTTAAGTAAGGTGATTTTCTCATAAATAAAACGCAAAACTCGATCAACTTTTCTCGTATTTATTTTTTATCGTTATTAGCCCAATGCAATTCTTACGGAAATATTAATTTTAAATAATCAAGATAATATTTTTAAGGATTTATGCAGCATTGATATCTATAGTTATGAAAATTGTTATTTAAAAATGTCATGTCAATTGGTAAATAGGAATTTTTTAACCCTTTAAAAGATACTTTTGGTATGCCTATGATGCCACAAAACAATGGAGACCTAGTTTTTAAGAAAAGTGATTTTTTTTCTGAAAAATCACTTAAATCCGTCAACTCTTCCTTAAGTTAACATGCTTAATGTCATGCATAAACACCCCACATAGATGCACATACATCAGACTCTTTAAAAATAATATATGATTTTTTTTGTACTTAAGAGACTCTCCCGGAAAAATGCATTTCATTTTCAAAATCTCCCTGCTATGAATAATGAAATTGAGTGGGTTGAATTAAAAGAGTTCTTCTCTCAACGTGAAGTTATTGCGAGTAAATAAATAACCAAAGTGAGCGCGTTTGGGTTAATTTTTTTAAAAAATGTGTGGATTAATCAGGCAAAGAAATAAAAAATTTAATTAATTCACTCTATCTATGCCAAGCGTGTCTATTGAACTGGTCAAAAAGTCATAATCGTCTTAATGCAACTCATGTCAAATCTGAAATGAAAGTGTGCATAAATTTAAAATACATATGTTAAGAGTTTCAGGATATTGTAAAATTTCATACTTAAAAATAATCTTTTATCATTGCAATTATTATCTTAAAAAAGATTTAAATCTTTAATAAAATATAAATCATTTTAAAAAGATCGCATCATTTTACAGATTTAAATCATTTCAGAAAGATTTAAATCAATAAAAAGATTTAAATCGTTTTAAAAAGATTTAAATCGTTTTAAAAAGATTTAAATCGTTTAAAAAAATTTAAATCGTTTCAAAAAGATTTAAATCGTTTTAAAAAGATTTTTAATCGTTTTAAAAAGATTTAAATCGTTTTAAAAAGATTTAAATCGTTTTAAAAAGATTTAAATCGTTTTAAAAAGATTTAAATCGTTTAAAAAGATTTAAATCGTTTTAAAAAGATTTAAATCGTTTTAAACAGATTTAAATCGTTTGAAAAAGATTTAAATCGTTTTAAAAAGATTTAAATCGTTTTAAAAAGATTTAAATCGTTTTAAAAAGATTTAAATCTAATTTTTAAATAAAAAATCAAAGATACTTTTCAAAAAGATTTAAATCATAAATCAAAAATAATTTTTTAAAAAAAGATTTAAAATCAAAGTATTTAAATCAAAAAATGTATTTAAATCAAAAAATGATTTAAATCTCACTGATAGGTGACAGCTCTGACGATAATGCACCCTCTCCATACCAGCAGAGTGGCTAGAGAATATCTTGAAACGGAAGGTGTCACAGTTTTAGACTGGACTGCATGTTCACCAGGCCTAAATCCTATGGAACATTTGTGTGACCAGATCAAAATAAGGGTTAGAGCTTGTCGAAACAATGCAGGAAATGTCGCACAGCTTATTGATACAGCATTAGCAGAATGGAAAAACATACCCCAACACAATGTTGACAATTTAATAAGAAGTATGCCAAGGCGAATAGAAGCTGCATAAAGGCTAGAGATGGCAACAAGGATTACTAAAATTGTCAATTTTCTTTTTGTTTTTGCTTTTTGGTCATTAAAAACTTACATATTATCATTTCGTTTCAGAAACAAAAAAAAAAAATACTTTTGTGGTTATTTTGTCAACTAATGAATTTTTTTATTGCTATGTGGGTTATTTTTTACTAAAAGTCTTTGGTAAGGACTGAGAATTATTTATAAACAAAAAGTGTTTATACATTTCAAAAATTATGAAAAATAATATATGATTCGGCATAAATTTGGTTGTGAGTATAACTCAATATCACCAAAAATTTACTTACCTTTTAACCCCAGACTTTTTCTCACACAATTTATTAATTGTTTACTATTTGGAAAATACTATATATTCTCAGGGTTACAAGTTAAACTTAAACATAATTTCCATTGTACTGGTGGTGTACAAGTGTATACACCTCGAGCTTATATTCCGTTTTAAATTTAAACAATGATTTTTCAGTTGCCGCAATAGAGACTTCTCGTCCATCATCCCCCACCAACCAGCTAGATACAGAGAACGTCCGAACGAAGTGTTTCTAGACTTCGAAGCGTTCCTCCTCAGCACCATGAAAGAACGTTCGACCTTGTGGATCCATTCCCAAATCAAAGCCTGCATGGAGGCCATAGACTGCCAACCAGATTTCTGCCTGGACCTGTTCGAGCCCTCGGGACACGGCAGGAAGAAGAGGAACGCCGAAATCATAGAAATCGTCGAACAGACGCATTTACCAGCGCTTGCGCAAAACGGTACACAATTTACGAAAATTAAAGGTAACCTGGAATACACTGTTCTCATGCCAGGTGAATTCTACCACCGAAATCCTGGTTTGGAAGGCAGTTGTAGCACGTTCTTAGTTGTAGCCGCCATTTTAGGTGCTCTACTATTCCTGTCGGCTTTTATTATGTGTTGGTTGGCTACTAAACTACACACGGCTCTAGTAGGGGTTAATAGTGATGGAAAAAACATTGATCAGCTCGTCAGGGATAGCAGGAGGTATTCCGATTCGGGATATACGGGAAGGGCTACGACTCAGTGACCAAAGTTATTTTAGTTTGGGTGTTTTGGGTATTTGGGCTGTTTTTTTTTAATCGTATAAGAGTTCAAGGTGTTTTGATAAACTGAATAATATTGAAAAGTAAGCTATATAAAAATTCGTCATTTTATGTTTGATACGTTGAATGGAGCTTATAAATAGCGGATGGCTTTGATTATTTTTCAAATTACTATTTAAAGTTAAGTTTGATATGAGTGGAATAATAGCGCCGTCTTACACTGCGAGATGTCAGGATCTGTTGTGTGCCTATTTAATTCGAAACCATATGGGAAATTTTTTATTACAAGTTTTATAGATACAAGTTGTTTTTCATAAAAAGTTCTGCATAGTCTAAAACTTAAAACACAAACAACAGATAAACATTTTTGTCAGTTATGTACGAGGTTTGTTGAAAAATATGAATTTTTTGCAATATTTAATACGAATTACATTTGGTTTTGCAAATCATAAAAAACTGTTTTTTCATGGAAAATGTGGAGCAAACACGCAAATGCCGATAAATCCAGTTTTACTGATTTTTAGATATTGGTCAAAAACATATACAGCGAATCCTCTAGGTATTTTTAAAAATTTATTAAAGGATTTTGCTCTTTTTGGTTTGTCTTTGATTGTCCCAAAATTTCGTGGTCGTTGTATTTTTTTGTGTTTTTATTTTTTAGTTTTTTTTGGATTTATCGGTTTTTGCTTGAAAAATAAGTTTTTGTGTCTTTATAAGAGAGGCGTGTTTAGCCCTCTTTTTGTGAATTTTAAGTTCGATTTGTGACCCCCTTTTCTTTTCTGTATCAACTTCACTTTTGGTCAAGTATTTAAGCCTAGTACATTTTGCGCAAATATCGGTGGCTGGACTAGAAAAGCCAATATTAAAGTCATTCACGAATATACTTCTAAAAATAGAAAAGTTAACTTTATGCTCAACATTGCACTGACTTTGATACATGTTGTTCAATTTTTTTATGTTTAAGTTAGCATCTAAATAAATCCTTTTCGACTTTTTTCTATTATAGTGACTTTCCTTTCCTTTTAAGTTTCCAATTAATTCTTTTAGTTTAACTTTTTTTGCAACAGATTTAGCGGACACGTGATCTCCACCACGGTTTTCTTTTTGAATATTCCCTTCAGATAAAACCTGCCTATGTGATTATAATTCGGTCTTTTTTACACTAATACATTTGAGAAAAAAAGCCTGGCATACCTGAATTTTTTTCTTGGACACTCTTTTGGGCAGAAAATAATGCACCGAAAAATTGCGACTTCTGGATTGTGCCCCCTTTGTAGCCCTTTTTCTATCAATCGGTACTACTGACATGTAATGGCCAATGAAGTGGAGAGGGGTAGAATGATAACTGTCAATGAAAAAGTCTGGACACTATGCACAATTTCGTTTTGCACATTTTGTAAACAAAATTCAGGGACGGTTTAACAACATTTTGTGCAACAATTATAAAATAGTGCATCGAAAAATAATTAACAAGTATAATTTAATACTAAATCGGAATAAAAGCATAAAAAATCATAAATATAAGCAAGATAACAAAGAATTGACGCCAAAAAAGCTTACAACAGCCAAAACACAAACAAAAAACAGAACTGAACATGAACATAATCGCTGAATAAAGTCGATCCTGGAATTTGTTTACAGTGCTTTAGGGCAACCTCTCCTTGTCATTTACGTGTGTAAGAGTGGAAGGCCGAATCACGCATAATTTCTACACTCGTGATGGATGCGCAGACAGTACCTTATCGTTCTACCCTCTCTACTTCTTTGGTAATGGCACAATTTAGTATCTTGGTCCACTTTATTAGAGAGCTGGGGCCCAATTCTCGAAACATGCGTTAACTGCCGCATGCGCTAAGTAACGCATGGTCGTTAACGCATACGACAGCAATTTAGTATTCCTGAACACCATGCGATAATCGCGAATCAAGTCGAACGTGTTAACGAAGAGTCTTTGATTATTGCATAGTCTTAACCAATGAGGATTGAGAATACCAAAGATGGTATCACTGAATATGAGATAATTGCATTGACACATGTCAAAATTGCCAAAAATTATAAAATTAAATGGATTGGATGTCTAATAATTTTTGGTTTTTAGACGTTTTAACTGTGATTATTTGTATTTTGGACTTGAAGAATTGGAGTGGTTTAGATTTAGAATATTAAAAATGGAACAGCATGGTTCACGAATAACGGAAAAATTGCGTGAAACTTTAGTAAAATTTATAACATTGTTTAGTGCCTGTAAAACTCATATTTCTTCTATATCATCCATACTAAATAAAATAAACCAAAATAAAGTGGCACCTAAACGTCCAATAAAAGAGTTCACGGTACAAAAAGTTTCATTTTTATATTCTAATAAAATGTTCAATAGAGTCAAATTAAAAATAAATATTTCCCAATAATAAATCACAACAAAACCAATAGATAGAAACACGAATCACATATGATAAAGCAGGATTAATTGACAATTATAACCTTACTTTCACCTAAACGAATGCGACAAAGTAGTTGTCGAACGGTCATGAGCGCTCTTTGAAAATCATCATTTCTTAGCGCATACTTTAATCAATTTGACGAATGCCGCCAGTTCAGGAATACACTTTCATCAAGTCGCATACGTTATCGCATGCGATAAGTTAACGAAGGCGTCAGGAATTGGGCCCCTGAAGTGATGCTAGGAACGTAAACGTATACGTGAAAATTGACATCTACGCATGCGCATTCAAATATCCGTCACGTTCACGTCTACGTACATACGTAAGCTTGCAGGCTCTGGGGCCCAATTCTCGAAACATGCGTTAATTACCGCATGCGCTGAGTAACGTATGGTCATTAACGCATACGACAGCAATTTAGTATTCCTGAACACCATGCGATAATCGCGAATCAAGTCGAACGTGTTAACGAAGAGTCTTTGATTATTGCATAGTCTTAACCAATGAGGATTGAGAATACCAAAGATGGTATCACTGAATATGAGATAATTGCATTGACATATGTCAAAGTTGCCAAAAATTCAAAAATTATAAAATTAAATGGATTGCAGATGTCTAATAATTTTTGATTGTTGGATGTTTTAACTGTGATTATTTGTATTTTGGACTTGAGAATTGGAGTGGTTTAGATTTAGAATATTAAAAATGGAACAGCGTGGTTCACGAATAACGGAAAAACAGCGAGAAACTTTAGTAGAATTTATAACATTGTTTAGTGCCTGTAAAACTCCTATGATAAAGCAGGATTAATTGACAATTATAACAGAGACAACCACATACAAAAGAAAATCAAAGTATGTGGAGACAACCCTCTGATTATAACCTTACTTTCACCTTAACGAATGCGACAAAGTGGTTGTCGAACGGTCATGAGCGCTCTTTGAAAATCACCATTTTTTAGCGCATGCGTTAATAAATTTGACGAATGCCGCCGTTCAGGAATACACTTTCATCAAGTCGCATACGTTATCGCATGCGATAAGTTAACGAAGGCGTCAGGAATTGGGCCCCTGGCGTATGCACGTAACGCAAATAATATAACCTCTATTTTAATTGGAAATGAAGAAATCCTAAAAATAATTGTCATTATCTGTCACGACACGTAAATGTCTCGATGCGTTTAATAACTTCAACTCATATTTTGGACTATACCGTAAACATTATTTTTGTGCGTTGACGTTCACGTTTACGTTAACGTACTAGTAACACTTCAACTCTATTATTAGTGTCAAAAATTTTGCTTCGTAAAGCATGTACATCACTTACTGCAATATTTTCACGCCGATATGTAGGTCCTTTATGATCGCAAACCTTTTTAAAATTAATCAAATCCGGATCGTCATCTTTGTATCTAAAAAACAAAAAGAAAGTAAGCAACACGTTCCAAAAAAAGACGCTAATGTAAATTTTGACCTTTGCTTTTTTTGAATCAGCCGTTTTGTCTCATTTGTTTTGCGTTTTCTACTTCCTATGCTAATATCAGATAAAGGCTTCTCCTTCATCCATCATAAATAATTCCAAAAACAATATTAAAAACGAGCAACAGGTTAACTGCAAAAATGCCACTGCACTTCTAGAAAAAAATCAGCTGTTTCTCTGAATTTAAACAATAATATTCATACTAGTGCCCCCCTTTATCTTTTAGTTTTTATTGACAAACGGAAATAACTATTTTGTAAAAAAGATAGCTGTAATTTTCTGGCGTCAAGTTATTAGTAATCCGCAGATATGGCAGAAGTTTAAATTTTTTTATCGGGTTTTGCTTGAAATTTTGATTTATCGTTATTTGCATTAAATGGACAAATTAAGGTGCTTTTTTAATACGATGTATCGGGATTTGCTTGAATCTAATGCGCTAGATCGGTAAAGCGCACCAAAATTAGTAAAAATCCAAAAGTCCAAAAAATGTAAAATGTGGATTTATCGGCTTTTGCATGTTTGCTCCACAAATGTGCATAATATATTGGATATCTGACCGTATATTTCAATTCTGATCAGCTTTTTTTCATAATCATTTCCGATATTATTAAAAATAGGTACATACTTTATTCTTGCATAAAATTAATATTTTTCGACACACCTCACACATGACTGAAAAATTTGATATCTGATGGTTTTTTGGACCATACAAATCTTTTTATGAATAATAACTTTTTTTCATAAAACTAATAATAAACAAGTTTCCCTTAGACACCTTTTAAGATACATCTTTTATTTAAATCATTTTTTTTATTCTTCATCTATTCCTGTGCTATAAACAAAATGTAAAATTATTTACTAAATGACCTGGGCTATTTCAATTATATATCTTTAAGAGTGTTATGATAGGCAGCACAGGACGCAGTTAGCTGTATTACTGGTTGCATAGCGATTTTCATTTTGTTCCAATTTATAATCTTGTATATATGAAAATGTAGTATTTGAAATTAATTTTGAATTATAAAATACAAATAAACCAAATTATACATTTTTATCCTTTAACATATACCGGGTATATGTGCGGAAACTTCGGATTTATGAGAAAATTCAAGTTGAAATTTCAAATAAAAATATCTCAAAATGTGACTTTGTTATTATGAAAGTAATCAAAAGTATGTATTCTTTTATAATATCGTCAGTAAAAATAATAAG